ATTATAAGGTCAAATCATGATTATTTTAAAATCCTAAATATTGCGATACATATATAGTTCAAATAAGTAAAACTCTAATAAGCAAAATTTTAATAGTTCTTTAAAGGATTATATTAGAAAAATAATTAAATGATAATTTTGTTTATAAAATCTACTTTAACGGTAAAACTTAATTTTATATACAAACGTTCGACTCCAAGAACATAAAAGGTTTAATTTAGTTCTGCTTAAAAAGGCGGAAGTAGTAGTTTCTACTTCCTATATAAACCATGTTTTAAATTTTAATGTCCCGAAAAGGAATGAAACTAATTTCCATGTCCAACGAGGAATGGAAAGTTGTGACAACTCCAACGAGGAATGGCAAGTTGTAGTTATAGGGAACTGACTGAATATATGTATAAACTAGTGATGTTGCACGCGCTTCACACGGTCAAGAAAAAGAATCTATAAAATATTGGTATTTTTTTGTAAATTGGTCAAGATAGGAGAATGAATTTCATGTATATTCATACAAAAACTAATTTTATAAGCAAATTAAATCATAAATATAGTACTTTTTTCGGTTTACTCTAACACTCTATATATCATTAAGTTTAGAATAATAACAGAAGAAATTCTTAAGAAAGAATCTCTTATTATCTGAAGATAAAGAGTGTTGGTCTTTCCTTGCAGTTATAACTTATATATATAGATTTTTTTCATCTTCCGAACTCCCTCAACTGTATTCTCCATTCTAACAATGCCAATCTTCTCTAGCCCCTCTATTTTTATTCTCATAAAATGATTAAGAATTTAAAATGTTTCAAGTCATCTTACAAACTTGAGATAGACCAAAGTTATGAAGGAAACGAAGTTAAAAAGTAAAATTGTAGATGAACGTGGAGAAGAATATGAGTAGTGGAAATTCAACAACAAAGAAGTATTAAGAGAATAACTAAAAATGAACTTATATAAGTATACAATGGAACACCATAAGGTGATATTAACTTATATATTAAACATTTGAAAGATATGCACATGAAATGCTAAGAGAGTTATGGCTATTAAGAAGAGATTACAGGTGTGAGATAAAAAATATTACTCTCTCAGTTCACTTTTACTTTTCCACTATATTAAAAATATATTTTTATTTTTACTATCTATTTTAGCAAATCAAGAGAAAGACATTTTTTTTTCCTTTTTTACCCTCATTATTAGCTATTCATTATCCGAAACGTTCCTAAGACTTTCTAAAAGGCTATCATGTAAAATGTAAAATCTTAAAGGTAGTAGAAAGTCAAAAGGGAATAACTAAAAGCGAACGGATGAAGTACTTAATAAAACTATTGTGACACCTCTCAATAATTACGAATTACATTTATCTTTTTACTCCTGTGTTTGGATATTTTTTCTATTTTTATTGTTTACCTCATTAAATAATTAAATAACAAAATATAAATCTCCTCATTTTGAAGAGACACTTCCCCACTTATTGAGGTTAGAAAATAACCGATCCGTCGTTCCGTTTTACTTGTTAGAAGTTCATTAAAAACAAAACATCCATGAATGCAAAAAGTCACAATTAGGGAAACAAATTCAACAACAACAACGACCAAGTATAATCCCACAAGTGGGGTCTGGGGAGGGTTCCTTTCTACTTATTAGAAGTCCTCATAGAAATATCATTAACTAATAACTAACCAGATTACAACGCCTCCTGATCTATGTTCTTGTGCTTTTCAATATTTAAAATGTATAATAATTAATAAAGTTTTTCAAATTGCATAAGATCTACTATCAATTAAATCGCGTACTTGCCCACAAGAATAATTAGCAGCTCACATCATAGTCTTGTACAAAAAATATCACATCTAGAAATTACACATGCTAGATAATAACTACTGAAAATCCACCTTTTACTGGAGCAAGGAATTACAGTATGATGCATCAATGGCACTTGCCTCAGCGATTCTTGTGCAGACGTAAATCGGTTGTCCAATATAATGAATTGCAAATTACATATGGTTCTTCAAAGAAAATCCGGTTCAGATGTCATTTACACGTAAATTTTAAAGTTTCGGCAAAAAATAAAAGCCTGATCAATAAGGAGATAAAGCTACATAATGTGACAGGGAAACATGGGCGTGATGAAACAACGAACTAAGGGAATCTTGTGCCATAAAAATGATAGGTTACTCTGTCAAAGTATGTTGGTTACTCAGTGAAGTATTTATGAGTGTAACATGCTAGTATGAACTTTGATAACAGTTGTAGTTCAAAGAAATTCTTGACTGAAGTTTGGCAAGTATGACTTATTTTGATCATGAATTAGAGGAGAAAGCCTGGTGATCTCCATTTTAAGCAAAGAATAGCACATGCAAGTCCCGAAATAAATTTGCGCCAAAAAGCCCACATATGCGCTATTCATGGACAATAAAATTACAAAATAAATTAACGGCACAATTGACTCTCTGATGTGCAACAGATGACACCTTTAGAAAGAAGACGATATAATTGTTGATCATAAAGCGAAGACAGAGAGAACTTTTGACGAAAGATGAAAAAAACACTTACGTTAAAGTTGTTGAAGGCAGAAATTTCTGTTGAAAATGGAGAGGGAAACCTTCCATTATGAATCTTATCATATATACCAAATTATGAAAATAATGGAGAAATAAGAAATGGTTATAAGTATAATACTGAAGATAATTAAAATAGAGAAGACCAAAAGCCTGAGTATATAGAGAAATATAAGGCCTTTACCTAGAATTACACGGGAAAGAGAAGAAATGCAGAGAGGGAAGATGGAATAGTGAGGAGAAACATGCATAGGAGGGATTGATTATTAAAGCACTGATATGAAAGGGTGGAGACGTTTCCCAAAGAGGAACGAAAGTATCTTAGATGCATGCTTAAATAATTTATCAGAAAATAAGAAAGAAGGCAAAAAATTGAGAAAAAAGAAAAATGTGATTCCTTAGCAAAGAGAAGTGCGACGTAGCCTTGCTTGTGGCCCTCTATTATATATACTAGTAGGGTTAGCCCGGGCTTTGCCCAGGCCCAAGATGAACAACCTTAACGTAAGGGAGTAAGGGCAATATTGAGTGGATGAGCTTTCATTTTAGATCTTGATAGTAAATTTTTCTTTTTGAGAGTAAATTTGTTAGTACTAAGCTAAGCTAGTATATTATTTTGTATAGGTATGCAGTTGTGATTTCACTATTGGATTAGAGCTACAGTGAAACGCTTTGAAGTTTTGGAGGTATGATGAAAACATAAATGTATATATAATGGGAGCTACTTGGATTTACCAGATTATTCAAAGAGTTAGTTTGCATAGCTAACAGTAAACAATTCATGAAAATTTGTGTAGTTGTTTATACAAAATGCGGAAGATTGTACTTACCAAAATCTGCCTTGATAAAAGTCAGTTTGTCTAGCTATTTATACAAAATGTGAAATATTGTACTACAGTAAACAGTTCACGAAAATTTACGTACTTATTTACACAAAATGTGGAAGATTATACTGTAGTATAATAACACAACCAAAATCTGCCTTAAATGCAAGCTGTCAAAGACCATTGAGGCAACCTTTGCTCCGCTTCAAATCTGATGAGGCATCTGTATGAACAACAAATTGAGAGTTTTAAGTGTAAAAGAGTAGTTGAGAATACGTAATTTGGACCAAGAATTGTAAAGACATTGGACATAGATTTTGTTTTGAATTGTTTGAAAATTCTGAAATTGTAGTATAGTGCGAGCAACATAGCCTTTATCGTATAAGCAAAATAACATTGTTAAATCTCCACTTGTCAAGGCACAAAAAGATAAAATTAAAATAAATATACATTTTAAAACTCATTCTCTCAACTAAAATTAAAATTATGGATCTGGCAGCGATTGATGCCTAACTCTATGAATAAAGGTGAAATCTCTCATGTATGGGTTCTCTTTAGCTTAATTGGTGCATCTATATCGTATGCTTTAGAGTGAATCAAATACCACTATACAAAGTACTCCCACAAAGCTAAGTTAAAACGTTATGTTCCTTTCATTTTCTTATCTGATGCATAGAAATTGATAGCAGCAAATGTAATTGTTCATTAAGTAACCTAAAAGCAGACAACATAGTCTTAAAAAAAATATGGCCTATCAAGAATTAATTTCTAAACTTGATTATTTTTGCGAAGGAGTTGTTGATTGTACGTTTGTTTTTTTCCATGGGTTTTCATCTTGTGTTGATGGACTGCGATTTGCTTCTTCAGAAGTACTGATTGATTCTAGCTTTCTTTTACTTCCCTCGACAATAGTAGCTGATGTTGAAGATTGTGCCATGTCGAAGACAGTCTGTTTCTGCCTGTAAGATGAGATGACAAAGGTACCTGGTGGTCTATCCGGTGTTCTGAGTAGTGATTTCTGTAAATGAATTTTGAACATCTTGTCTAGCAGGTGCTCTCTGATATGCTCAACAGGTAACACTTGTTTCTATGGAAAAAAGTTTTCCACAGAATTAGCAAAGCGAGGATTTTAAATTAATTTCGACTGACGCAAAATGATTCTAGATTTGTTAGTATATGAACCTTGACAATGGTAGTTTCGTATATTTGGTCTGCTGTCAATGAAAGCATTATTTCAGCTAGTTTATCTGACACTACAACTGTTATTGTTCCGCTCCCGTCTGTGATGTCAACTTCAAATTCACATCTACAATGATGTGTTTGTCCGATGATAAAGTTTTAGCTATTAGATATTGTAGTATGTAAATGGTAAGAGCTATTATTACCTTGGAATCAACATTCTCTCTAGTTTGCAGTTGATACAGGGAACTTTTTTTTTCCGCTTGATTCGTGCTAGATGTTGACACTCAGAGCATAGAAGTACGAAGAAAAACCTGAATTCACTTGGCAATGATATTTCTCCTTCAACATAGAAACTGTGTGCCTGTTGAGAAAATAATAAGAAGATACTACTTCGTAATTACGACATAGAATAACTCGCAAGAGGCTATTTCTAATCCGATATAGAAGCAAAAGAACAATCGATGCAAAGCCTGAGTCATATGTTTTAATATATTCACAGTGTACTGTGAAGGAATGCTTGAAATGGGAACTATTTCATCTTCAAAAGGTGCAACATTTAGTGTCGAAGGCGATTCTGATGTACTTTTGAGAGTGTATTCAATTAGCATCTCCTTCTTGTCCTTTGCCCTGCAATGTAATAGTAGATATTGTAAGTTTTTTGGTATAATATGGTATTAAAAAATGGAACATATTCGTGTGCAAATAAAACCCGTTTCACACCAATTCATTAGTTTTGCTGCCTGCGGGTACAAAGGGTCGATTAATATTGAGGAGTTGAACCTTGTTGTTAATCAGACCTCTGCATATACTTATTAATGAATAAAGCTGAACATTAATTAATGTACATGTGTGATTTAAAGTTACTTGTGAATACCTTGTTTAAAGTTAGAAACAACTATTCGTTTTGCAACAATGACAGGATATCTATGTAGCTATTGCAGTAGTTCAGCTCCACCATTGTCAGCCAATTCTTCCCATATAGTAAAATGAAAAGGTTTTTTCCTATAAAATTAAGAATTCAGTGTTAAATACATATTTTGTTGTTAGAGGTAGTTAAAGTGTATATTACTTACTTGTCGTCTATAAGAATAACCTCTTGAAATCTTCTGTTTTCGCTCCCTTGATATTTCATGGTACCGCAATTTGCCACAACTGCCACCAGGTCTGATTTGGAAAACATGTGCGTATAAAAGTAGGATGCAATTATTTAAATTTGATAATGAAGAAGCACAGTTTTTTTTACAGAAAAAAATGAAATTGTATGAAGTCATGTTTGTTTACCGAATTCATCGCCTGGAAACTGTTTCTCGATATCGGCAAAGGACACCATGTTTAATCTCGTAGGCAACGGTAACATTGATTCTTCTTCACTGTTCTCTGTAACTTTTTCGACAATACTGAAGGTATCGACGACCCATTCAAATGTATGCATGGGTATTGCAAAACGTGACGGTTCCCTTGTTGAAGATGTCAAATTGTCCCACGTCGGTTGAGAAGTAGAGTTGGGGGGGATTTTCCCTTATAAAAGAAGGCCTAATGTTTAGGATTTAAACACACCTCTCATTTGCCTTCTTATCTTCTTAAGGCATTTGTATCTTCTCTCTTTAGTATTATTTCACTTGTATTTTTGGAGTGGAATAAAATATTGGTTGTGTCCGAGGAGTAGGCAAAATTAGCCGAACCTCGTAAATTCTGGTGTTCCTTTTATTGTTGCTTTATTATCTTATTTATTATTTGGTGGTTGTCCACTTATTCACACTATATACATTTGGCTTC